CCAACATCAGGGTCTTTTCCAGGGAGTCTTCTCTTCTCATAAGTTGGCCAAAGTCTTGGAGCCTCAGCTTCACGATCTGTCCTTCCAGTGAGCACTCAGGGCTGATTTCCTTCAGAATGGATCGGTTTGATCTTCTTGCAGTCCATGGGACTCTCAAGAGTCTCCTCCAGCACCATAATTCAAAAGCATCCATTATTTGGCGATCAGCCTGCTTTATGGGCCAGCTCTCACTTCAATACATCACTACAGGGAAAACCAGAGCTTTCACTATACGGACCTTTGTTGGCAAGGTGATATCCCTGCTTTTTAAGATGCACACGAAAGCTTATACCCCAGAACAAACTTAGTTTGTCTCCAAGGTGCTACTGGGAAGTTTTTTAATTTTTTTATTTATTTCATACATATATCTCAGTTAGCAAATCTGTACACATATCTAAGTAAGCAAATCTGCGTCCCCCCCAAAAAGAGAGAGAGAGAGAGAGAGAGAGAGAGCGCCACCAGTTAGTGTAAGGCTTATATGCCCGGTCAGCTAGAGCAAATTATTTTGATTATGACTAGGGGAAATACCTCCAGAACATGTGGTTACCCAGGAGCCTAAAATCAGCGGCAGAACTGTGGGGGTCTCAAATTTCCATGGTGCCCTGTGTGACGCCAAAATTTGGTGCCCCCCCCACCTCTCACTTTCCATTCTACATCATAGCTGCAGCGCTCCCGAGGCTCTGCACCCGGTGCAACTAAACCTGTCGCACTCCCTTAAATCCGCCTCTGCTACAATTCTGATACTGACCGCAATGCATTTAAAATGCATTTTCCAGCTTCGAGTTGAAACATTTCCCTAAGGCTGAGGACTGCAGCAGATCCTCCCCAATGAAACAAAAGAAAAGAATAGAAAAATGAAACCCAGCTTAAGAGGAGAAGAACAGAAGGGGGCAGAAATACCCAGGCTTGGGTTGACATTCCCCCTCTTTCAGGAGAAGCTAGCTGGGAATGCAACAGGGGTGCATTTGGGGGAATGGCTCACAAAGGGGTTTCAGATGGGACCAAGCACAGAAAATTTTGATATGTCGTGCCGTAAGCATTTAATTAGCCCATCTAGCCTGTGCTACCCGAGAAAGGATGAATGCTGTCCAGGATCTGATCACAGTTAATATCTGGCGGCCTCTTTCGTGGCTGGAACCAGCTGCAGCTCTCACAACAGCCTGGCTTCCTGTGTCACTGTTCTGTCTCGGCTTTCACACGGGGTTACGCTGGGATACAACTCAAAGGCTGCCAGTAAACCCAGACTTATTAGCAGGGGCCAGACAAAAGCCCAGGAAGACCATGGCAAGAAATCTAGGGCACTCAGGTGCCTCTCAGAGTTGCACAGGGCACGGAAGTTAGAATCTTTATATACAAGTTAGGAGGTTTTATATTCTGCTCATTCATCGTGCCCCAGGCGTGGGCTTGACACCTGACTGGTTTCCCTACCTCCCGCCCATTTTTAATTTAGCCTCTGAAATCCACGAGCCGTAAAAAATATTAAGACCTATCACAACCTCTAGTTGTGGACTTAATCTGTTTTGGGGTGCCGTTCGCACCCTGAAAAGTCTGCAACTAGAGCACTTCTGCGCATGTGCATGGTGCGATCGACCGCTTCTGTGCACAGCACGCAGATCACTTCTGCGCATGCGCGGGCGGCGAACCTGGAAGTAAACACTTCCAGGTTTGCTGCGTTTGTAAGCTGAAAGTCCATAACAAGAGCAGAACGCAACACGAGGTATGACTGTAATGCAGCAATAATTATAACATTCCCACGTATATACACGCCAAGCACTCTTTTTCTGCAATGTTGCCAGCGCAGCTCTGCGATAATTTTATCGCTGCAATTCATGCTGTACGTTCAGGAGGTTCTCCCCATCTTGATACTGCAGCAGCTCCACTTATTTTCGGGTCTTTGCCCCCAGAGATACAGCTGAGTGATTCCTAGCTAAGGCTCCCTAGTCCTAATACACCTCTATTAACTCCTGATCTAAGCAACATTTGCACCGTTCATAATATACAGATCTGCGGAGGCAAGCCTTGCAAATTAATTCTGGTCGGCTGTGCAACCTCCTTTCATCATGGAAGTACCTAAAAGCTACTCTGTAGTGCCAGGGGGCAATTCTAGAGATAACTCATACCGGGAAGGGAAGGGGCACAAGAGGTCATTGCTGGGGAAGAATGGATTTTATTATTTACAGCAGTTTTATGCTGCTCTTCTGCTGAAAAGGCTCCCAGGGCAGCTGACCAAGATTAGTAAGTCAGCCCCTGACTTGACATGTATACTCTAAAAGACATGACACAAACGCAAAAGGGGTTTGGAGGGTGGAAGAAAAATGTGAATACAGGCACACCTTCTTATTTAGTTGTTTAGAGCAGGGTTTCCCAAACCTGGGTCTCCAGCTGCTTTTGGACTACAATTCCCATCATCCCTGACCACTGGTCCTGCTAGATAGGGATGATGGGAGTTGTAGTCCAAAAACAGCTGGATACCCAAATTTGGGAAACCCTGACATAAGAGCATTTTTACCCTACTCTTCAGACGAAAAAAGACTTCCAGAGGTGCTAAGATACAAGTCAAGAAAAATAGCACACTTTTAAGGCTTAGCTGCAAAGCGCTTACAATGACCAGCTGGCATGAAACAGTTCAAAGAGGAGGAGGAATCAAAAGCTGCTGGTTTTGCAGTTGAGCTGACAGAGTGGCCCCACTTCCCTTCTTCTGCAGCCTGATGGAATGGCTACTGCCAGGTGGCAATTGATATAGGCAGCAACCTGATGGCAGCTGGCTTCTTAGTGCAGATGATGGAGTGGCCCTGTTTGCCTTCTTCTCCTGTGCTGCCCATTAGCACTTTGCAAAATAATAATAATAATAATAAATTTTATTTATACCCCGCCCTCCCCAGCCAAGGCCAGGCTCAGGGCGGCTAACAACCAATAATAAAAACAAGTTGATTGGAATACAACTTTAAAAACTAGGTTAAATACAACATTAAAACATTAAAATGCAGCCTCATCACAGGAGGAGAAAGGAAAAAAGAAGAGGGGGAGGTAATCAAATTGACTCCAAGCCAAAGGCCAGGCGGAACAGCAGTCCTCCTGGGTTGTCAGTTTTCTTCACAGCATTCAGTTATTTTTTACTAGAGTAATTATAGTTCAGTCTCCACAAAGCCTCTTGTCACATTCCTAGTGTCCTGCAAATGGCTTTAACTTCAGAGAGTTATCAAAGTTTGGGTTAAGCCACCTAAAAGCAACTTTCTGGTTAGGGTCCAGGCAAGCGCCCTTCTGCATGGCTTAGATTTAACCAAGAAATCCAGGGCCAGCTAGAAGTGGCACATCATGCAAACTGCAAAGTTTTCCCCCAAGGCATTCCTAAATTGAACCTTAGTCTGCTTAATTGTGTTTAGCCGTTTCCCTTACCACAGAGATTTCTCCCTGACTCATAATATACAGTGCCCAGAATGTTTAACTACTCAGACAAAACCATGCCTCTTTTTTTCTTCCAAGCTGCAACTCATTTAATCCTCCTCTTTCCAACCCATCTGCTAGCCAGTCCTTGGTGCATGTTCACAGTGAAACGCAACGCAAGTTCGCACATAAATTTTACAAACTTGAAACACAGAAGAAGACAGCGAAAAACAAGCCTTCTTCTAATGAGACGTTTTGGAATGAGGACGGGGAGGGAGAGAGGAAGCAGGAAAGTGTCTCACATCCCAACTCACTCCACCGCCAGCCTTACTCACGACCGTCCAGGAAGCATGACCAGATTGCTTGAAAGTTTTCCAGCACTGCCTCCATGTTTAGAGACAAATCTCTCAGGCCAGTCACATTACTCAGCCTCCAGTACTCAAGAGAGATTCACTCTTTTTTGTAGTACAGTCATACCTCGGGTTACAGCCGCTTATAGGTTGCATTTTTTCAGGTTATGGACTGCCGAAACCCAGAAGTACCAGAACAGGGTTTTGGCAGTCGTGCATGCGCAGAAGCGTCAAACTGAAACCTGCGCGTGCATAGACGTGGGTTGCGAACGCTGCGGGTTGCAAGCGTGCATCCTGCATGGATCACGTTCGCAACCTGAGCAGCCACTGTATCTGTCTTTCAACAACGAGGGCTGCTCCAGGTATGCAGACTGTAAGGCTTGTCTCACTCAAGTCTGTGGCTTGTTCAGCATTCAAGCATTCTGCCCCCACACTTCATCCTGTCTTCCATGTCCCAACACCACTTCCCTGGCTCTGAGCCTTCCTCTTCTGAGGTTTCCCTAGCAGGCATGGCCAAACTTGGCCCTTCAGATGTTTTTTGGGACTACAATTCCCATCATCCCTGACCACTGGTCCTGTTAGCTAGGGATGATGGGAGTTGTAGTCCCAAAACACTTGGAGGGTCAAATTTGGCCATGCCTGCAGGGGGTTCTCTGGCAGAAGCCGTCCACCATTCTTCACCATCTAGCCAGTCCCTGACACCTGATTTATTTTATCTGGGGCTCTGCTCTCCTTGAAGCAGCAAACACACTTCTTTCCATTTCCGCACACTGGTCTTTTGGGGCAACTGCAAATGGGAAGGGCCAGTTTCAAGCCCAAGGACAAAAGGCCAGGCATGTATCTACCTTACCTTTTCAATTAGAGATGACAAGGATTGAACCCAGAGCCTTCCAACAGCCAGCATGTTCTCCATCACGGAGCTACAGCTCATCCTCAATGTTTGCCTTGTCTCCATGTGCTTCTTAGGAGACCACTAAATCCTAAAAAGCACATGGGTCTTTGGCATGAGCCAGAGATTTAAAACTGTGTGACCTCTTCGTTCCATTCATTTCTAAGGGGCTCCGCATTCAACTCATCAACACATTTCAGCTGCTAAGGGCAAGCAACATTCCTCAAATGCTTGAGCCCTCTTTGAATATTTCTAGGATCCTGAAACACAACTTCTGGCTTTAGCTTGCACATTTCAATAATGCTGTCGGTGCACTTTAATAAGTAGGGAGAACTTACCCAAAATGCACAGTATTCCATCTGGCTGGGATTTGCTGCTCTGCGTCAGGATGTTCTGAATTTGTCGAAGGCGGCTACAACTGCAAAGAAAAACGGGAGACGGTTAGAGGCAATGCTTAAAAAGGACTTCAATCTGTTGGGAGCCAAGGCTTGCTGAAAGAGATCTGTCATCTGGCAAACCAGAACTGTACCAGGAGTTCTGAAACTGTCAGTATTCATATAGACTTAGTAGAAGCAGGCCTTTGCTCTTTCCACATCATTTTGCAAAATGCTCTCTCTGTCTCCAGCTATCAGCCCACTCACTTTTCCTCTGTGATTTCTGCATCATCACTTTAAAGCATTTCTACCAGTTGGATGAACTTATCTTCCACCTTTTGTGCCTGCTGAAAACAAAAGGATTTTTCACTCAATTCAGGGCACTTGGCAAAGTAGGCGATAGATATCACGTGGGCAGCACGGCTGCCACCAAAACACCATTTTGCCACCAGGAGGTCACCGACACATTTGTGCACTGGAACTCATGCTGAGCGTCCACTGCAAGCCAGGGTGTGCCTTGTGCCGGCCTGTGAGGTCCGGAGGATTGGCTTTCTCTTTGAGTACTCCTCGAAGGAGTTTCATTCCTAATCTGAATTGCAACACATTCCTTTTGATCATAAACGTCAAGTAACCCTGTCAACAAACCAGTGCATGCTTTGCCAAACAGGCAAGCCTTGACATGCAAAAAGTTGACCTTCGTTCTGAATGGAAAGAGCTAACAAACATAATGCAAGAACAGCCCATAAAACTAGCAACAGAGAGTTATGGCTATCATCCACCCCTCACATTCATCGGACACAGCTCAGAACTGCATGGGCACATCCAACTGGACTTTGCCCCTTGCAGAGAGGGGGCCCTCCATGTTTGCCCCGTTATTGGTTTTTGAAAGACAGTTTGTGATGTGGGAGACCAGAGTTATGGGAAAGTGTCAAAAGTAATTATTACTTCAACCATTTATATATTGCTGAATTGCAATCATCTCTACAGACAACCAAAGTTAGCTGTGAGGTCCCCGGATGACAACCGTTATCTAACATTTGCAAAACCTGATCGTTTGATCAGCATGTATACAATTTGCTGTTATTCCATTATCTACAAGGCGGGAGCACAATGGAGCCAAATGACTATTCACTTTGAACCTGGATCTTATACAAAATTTCTTTTAGATCTGTGGGCATGATTCTTGTTGGAACTTTCAGCCAAATCCATCTCCTTTCACCCCAGGTTACTTTGCCCATTCCTTTATAAATGCTCCCTTTAGATTATATGAATTCACAACTATGATATAAATTTCCCCAGTCTACCCTTTGAGCAATTACGAGTATAGTAATTTCCAAAATGAGTTCTCTTCTCTTGAGGGTCCATGCTGCCTCATTAAACGTATGGATATAACCATGGCCGACATCTATTGTTTTAAAGATCTCAGCAAGTATGTTGGGGAGCACATGCAGTCCATGAACCAAGCATACCCCAAGGAAGAGTGTATTGGATCAGAAACAAGTACTTCCCATTCATTTATTTCACCTGAAACAGCAGGTCAAACGGTTATCAAAATAACACATAGGGGGGAAATGATGCTGTAATTCTGAGCAAACAGCGTTATATACAGGCTTAGAGGAAGGGGTTTTCCTGTGAACTTCCCTAACTGAAAAGTTCACAGTCAGTCAGCTGCATGAGCTGCTGGCCTGGTTAAGGAGTCACTGACATGCTTCTTCCTGTTTATGCAGAAACAGCATCCTGCGCACAAAAGAATTTGCTTGCAAAGTTGACAAGCCAAACAGCAGAGTTGCAGCAAGGAGATTAGGCATAGGCAAACTCAGCCCTCCAGATGTTTTGGGACTACAGCTCCCATCATCCCTAGCTAACAGGACCAGTGGTCAGGGATGATGGGAATTGTAGTCTCGAAACATCTGGAGGGCCGAGTTTGCCTAGGAAGCTGGGATCATCCCATGAAGCTAAATCCTGGAAGACTCAGGACAAACAGAAGTACCATATTTTTCGCTCTATAAGGCACACTTTTCCCCTCCTAAAAAGTAAGGGGAAATGTGTGTGCGTCTTATGGAGCGAATGCAGGTGGGAGGCTCTGCTCAGCGCTCCCTTTAAAGAGCCGTGTGGAGCGTGTGTGTGTGGCTCCCTTCTCCCTCCTCGGGGAAAAGCCCCCAAGAGCCGCACACACACTCTGCGTGCTCTTTAAAGGGAGCGCGGCTCTTGGGGGAGCCTTAGCCGCGCGCAGCCTCTCCTGGGCAGGGGATGAAGGCTCCCCTTGCCCGGGAGAGGCTGCACGCAGCTATCCCATAAGCCAGGACAGCCAGCGGGATCGCAGCACTGCAATCCCGCTTGCTGTCCTGGCTTCTGGGATTCAGAATATTTTTTTTTCTTGTTTTCCTCTTCCAAAAACTAGGTGCGTCTTATGGTCTGGTGTGTCTTATAGAGCGAAAAATACGGTACTTCACATAGCAAAGTTAGAATTCACCACCACAAGCCGTGGTGGTGTTTTACTCCCCTTTTAAAGCTATATCGGGGACCAAGTCATGGAGGATAAGGCATGCTATTAGTTATGATCGAAGGCTTCACACTACCTGCAAAATCAGATGCCGCATGGCTGAGAATATCAGTTGCTGAAGTACAATGGGAGAGGGCTATTGCCTTCATGTTCTGCTTGAGGCCTCCCCTTGGGGCTTGTCTGGTCAGCTATTGTGACAATAGGATGCTGGACTAGGAAGGCCTTTGGTCTGATCCAGCATGTCTCTTATGCTCACTTGTTCCATGCTTTAAGTACGGTAAATGGGGAAAGTATTGCACAGGGGAAAAACATTTCACCATCATTTCCTAGTTCTATATTGTAGCTGGAAGCTGCACGCACATGGAAGCCAGAAAGCCATTCCAGAAAGCCATTCACCTGCCACAGATGAAGCTGCAAAGTCACTGGGGCCCGTGACTGAATTTATTCTCAATGGTCACATTTAGGTAAAGGTAAAGGTACCCCTGCCCGTACAGGCCAGTCTTGACAGACTCTAGGGTTGTGTGCCCATCTCACTCAAGAGGCCGGGGGCCAGCGCTGTCCGGAGACACTTCCGGGTCACGTGGCCAGCGTGACATCGCTGCTCTGGCGAGCCAGAGCCGCACACGGAAACACCGTTTACCTTCCCGCTAGTAAGCGGTCCCTATTTATCTACTTGCACCCGGGGGTGCTTTCGAACTGCTAGGTTGGCAGGCGCTGGGACCGAACAACGGGAGCGCACCCCGCCGCAGGGATTCGAACCGCCGACCTTTCGATCGGCAAGCCCTAGGCGCTGAGGCTTTTACCCACAGCGCCACCCGCGTCCCCAATGGTCACATTTACACACTAGTAATTTTGCAGTTGCACGTCTGTAGTAAAATTAAGCATCCAATCTGTAATGTTCTTCAGTTATATTTCCAAGTAAACTTTAATGCCTAAGCTGGACAAATCCTCACACAACCTTTCAGAGGAGTAGCTGCAGGCATAGGGTGGTATGCAAATTTAATAAAATAATAGCTATACTTGTCTGTGGTAGCTGTCAGAGCTGCCCGAGGTCCCAGCTCACAAAGGACCAACGCCAATGCGTTACTATTTACAAAAGTCTTTATTGAAGTTCAGTTTCGATTTCAAAGCCGCGGCGCGCAGCTCTACGTCCTAAACTCTAGACCGCTGAAGCTCCGTCTGAATCTCCTCCCCCCAGACACCAGTTTAAGACTCTAGCCTTGCTCCACCTCTTCCTTTGCTCTCTTCTCCTCTGGGCCCGCCTGTCCGCTGGGGTCTCGCCTCTTCTAGACTCTTCTGACGCTGAGTCTCCTGAGTCTTCCCCCTCCCTCCGGCGGGCTTTAGGACCTGGTTCCCAATCCGGGTTTCCTGCTGTGCCGCGCGCCTGTACATTCGAACTTGGCACGCGCCCAGCCGGCCACCTTCCTCCTGACCGTTACACTGCTCCTGTCACTGCTTCCCCCTTCGGGGAGGCTAGCTGCACCTGACTCTCCCTCCGTTCCCTCACTCTGCGATGGAGGCGTGGCCACCCCTGACTCATCCTCTCTCCCTGCTGGAGGAGACGCTGGCCCTGATACATGTGACTCTTCCCCCTCACTACGCTCTGGTGGAGGAGCTGGTCCTGCTCTCCCGCTGCTGCTTTGGGAGTCCCCGCTGGCCCCTTGCTTCTGGTGTGTCCCCCCTGGGACCCCCCTTGCCCTGGCCATCGGCGCCCCCCTCTGGGAATCTTCTGATTCGCTGGAGAGACTCATGGAATCTCTCGGGCCACTTTCATACTCCCCTACGCTGCCCTCAGATTCTTCCCCTTCGCTCTCCATTTCCTCTCTCCCCTGTGCCTCTGCTCCTGAGCCCCTGACAGTAGCAAACAAGGAAGCTTGTGCCAGCTTAAAGACTAAGGGCGATAACTGAAGTTTGTCACAGTCAGAGCAGAAACCAATGGACTTAAGCCAGGGATCGGCAAACTATGCCCTGGGGGCCGGATGCGGCCCACCAGGCTCGTAAATCTGGCCCGCGAACCCTGCCGCCCGCTTGGTCAGTCCCCGCGCTGAGCTAAACCGGCATGGCACAGTGTTTCCTTGGAAAGAAGCCGCAGACGCCTCGCCGCATGGGGACTGACTTCCACGACGCTGGCACGGCTTTGGATTGGCTGCAGGAACCAAAGCCGCGGACGCCTCTGGGCGGGTGACGACCCCGACGCGGCTTCGGATTGTCCTGCAGCCAATCCGAAGCCTCGCCACCCGCATACTGAGGCAAACCCAGTGCAGCCATGGACGGACAGGCCGGCGGGCAGGAAGCGGGTCTGGGCTGCGCTATGGGCATCATGACGGGCGTGTTGCAGGGCTCCAGCCGGAGCTTGGTGCACCTGCTGGCCCCACCCTGGCGCCCGGTTCAGCGCTGCTGCTGGTGGCGTGCTCGGCAGCTGCGCTAGAGCAGCTGGAAGGCGAGCTGCGCACTGCCTGCCCGGCGGTCCAGGTGCGCGGCCTGCCTGCCGACCTGGCCTTGGACGACGGGCCACAGTGCATGGTGCATGCTGCCTGGGAG